AATGGAAGTTTTTAAACACTTAAATTTTTACAATAATATTCTTTTTGGATGAACATATCTAAATATCAGCAAAATTTTCGATCAAAATAATTCATTACAGAAGTTTGAAAAAATCTTTCTTTGTTAGGTGGATTTATTACAACAGAAAAGAATGAAACAAGATATATTCTTCTTTTGAATAAAAATTTATTTATATCGACATATCTATTCTATACACATCAAGATCAACAATTTGTTATTCATGTACAAGTATGTATTAATCAATAAAGAAAAAAGATTAAAAAATGTATATATAATAATGTTTTTAGTGATTTGGAGAATTTTATGTTTAATGAATAATGTTGATAAATCCATGTGTATAATTAATAATTAAACAACAACATCGTCAGATTTCTTCATTATTATTATTTTCATCATCAACATATGATTAATAGTCCATTACTTGATTTATTATTCAATACAACTATTAAAATGAAAATATGAATTAATACCAAGGGGGAAACGGCGGACTTGAAGTAGAAAAGTACGTCAAAGTAGACTACTTGAAGTAGCTTAAAGTAGCTCAAAGTAACTTCAAGTCCAAAAGTCCACCGTTTCCCCCTTGATTAATACTATACCAAATTCGAAACATTTTCATATTAATAAAAATGAGTATGTATTAGATGACAATATTGTTATAAAGAACAAAATATTAACATATATAATTAGTATTTAATTGAAATGGGATATAAGAGAAATCGAATGAAAATTAATATTAATTTTACAATATTATTCAAGTAAGATAATTATTCAATGGAATATATTTTAGTAGTTAAAAAAAAAATTATAGAGTCTGTTGAATTACTTGTGAAAATATTCTGTTGTTAATAGACTTGAACAATGTTATTATCGCAAAAACTATATTTGCAAAAAAAAATACATCATAAAATGATTAAGTATCAACAGGCTCGATAGTTTTTCAAGATTTTACTAGTCATATGCTTAAAAAAAAATCTATGTATAGTTTTTCTACAAGTATTATTTGATTGTTCGATACGATAGCAAAGTCTGAATACAAACTCGCTTCTCAACAATCAAACAATAGCTTTCAAAAAGAATGCATAAATTTTTTTCTGCTTGTTTATCAGTCGAATAAAACCATTAGAAAAAAGTTATCGAGTTTAACGAGATTTGATATCTTTGACGTATTTCAATTTTTATAGACTATTATGGAATTCTTCTCGTACTAAACCAGAGTTGCTAGAGCGAAAAATTAGAAATCGAAATGTTTCCACCAAAATTCGAAAAAATTCGGAAAGCAGTTGTTCCATTATCAGATATATATACCACTTTTTCTATGGGTATATGTGTTGCTCTATCAACATTTTGTGTAAAAATTGTTGCGGATATACTTATTTCTTTCTTCAGTCTCACTTAAATTCACATCTGAATCATCATCTTCATCATTCATGGCTAAATTTAATTTAGGATAACAAGAGACAATTTTCATGTAAAAAAACACTTTTCTAAACTTAAAGTTCAGTCCATGTCACAGAAGTTATTGATTCGAATGACATTTTTTTTAAACAATACAAGATATTCATTTATTTCGGATAGATTTTAAATTCAAACGATCTTACATTATAAATAGTCTTGATATTGTATTATGGAATGATTACAGTAGAACAACGACAGCGCATGAATTGCTAATGAAAGTTAAATTAGAAGTTATAACTAAAGTCATTAAATCTCGAATCTAGAGAAATAACAGGCCTCGAAAAAATATTCAAAATTCGAAAGAGTTTGGAAAAAGTACCAAAATTCGGAAGATTTGGCAGCCCCGTACTGAAAAAATCATTCATATTGTACAGTAGCGTGCGACATAGGTCAAAATTCTTGTGATCCGATTGGAGTCGGACACTCATTGGATTTTAATTGCAACAGTGATGATTAGTTGAATTTTCTTGTATTACATTAACTCATCTATACAGATCGTTACTTGCATTTTCGAATGAACTATTTTTTGTAATCAATTCCAATATTATTTTTCATGTAACTTTTATTTTTTTTTCTCATAGATTTTAGAAAATTTTATGCTAAAACAATGGAAGCGATTCATACATTAGATAAAAAAAAAGAATCCTCGTTTTTATGCTTATCTTAATGTAATTTTATTTCATTGAATAGATAATGTAAATAATAAAAATTATTTCGAATAGATTCGTGAACATAACATTGAATTAGGTGAACAATATTGAGCTGCATTTAATGATACGACTTATTCAACGTTTACTTAAATATACATCAATAACACATATTAATTATCAATTATTAATTGATTCATTGGGTAAATTACGTGAAATAACAAAAAAAAATTAAATGAACAAAGTAGAAAAACGGAAAAACATTTGTCAATGTTTAATATTGTTCATATTATTGATAATTGTCGAGTAAGAAAATGATTCCGATAGTATTAAGTACATTTTGTTATTGTTAAATTTTAGTCAGAGTTTCTTGCTGCGCATCGTGATTATATAGAAATATTTCAAATAATTGAACTTTCACAAGAATTAAGAACAGCATGAACACATTTAACTGTTTCTTTCTCCAATTGTCTTGAATATATGTGAAAAACATTCGGTATAAAAAGATATTGCACTCATTCAATTGGAGAATATTCAAAGTTTATTTGATATTAATCCATAATCATTAACAATTGATGATAAAATGATTAACTGTTTTTGTTTTTTGTAGAACTCGCGTTACGTTTTTCTTTTCGAAGAAAAATAGAATGAGTTTAAGTTTTAGAGACATGTGACACGAAAGTTTGAAAGTTTGTCGAATTCTTACTCATAATATTTTTCATTATAGTTTACTTCACATTTCTCATGGCATCTTGATAGTGATCATTTATGAATGTGATCATTATAGACTTTTACTTTAAGAGTACCAATTATAAGAGAGCCGACCCATACTCAACGAGCTCTATCGAGAACTATGAGAAAAGCAGTTATCTCAACTGCCACTAAAGGTTATATAGTTATATAGTTATATATTGTATGACTTTAAGTGTATAAATAAAAAGAAAACGAATATTGAAGAAGTTTTTAGATGTGATACGATTCAACAGTGGAGTAGTTTTCTCTAGACAAAAACCCATACCCACACCCTTTACAGGAAATGGTGAAAGAAACTCATCTGAAAAAAGTAAAGAAAGTCAAAGATGAAAAAAATATGAAAATCATATTAACTTCAAAAACAAAAACGGGTAAAATTTGATTTCTCATGTATTCATTTATAATCTGGTAGAAATTTTTCACTTCAAATATTTGGGAGGAGTATAATGAGACTAAAGACCACATGTGGGTTCTACATTATAGTCCTCAACGAGCTGCACTGACACAATCTCTATTTTTATTTAAATAGAATTTTTCTAATTCAAGAAATTGAACAATTTGGAATACTTTGTTCAATGGATGGTCATACACATATCTTCATTATCATCGATTTCAATATTATCGAATAGTACTCATCATCATGGAAATAAGAAAATCTATGTACTTTATCAGTTAGCTAAAGCGATTCTCATAGTGTATAATTTTTATTTTAGTCTTCACTTATTCAAACATTACTTGAAAATTCAGACATTGATTCAGATTGACGTTCAACTAGCCGTCTAAATTTATTAGATTTAGCATTTAAACATTTTGAAAATTTACCTTTTTTTTAAATTAATTAACATTGAATAAATATGTCTATATGTGATTAAATTTTAGTGGTCTTCATAAAGCAAAGAAACGAGTAAGTGGAGCTTTTTTATTCAATCCAGAACCTAATAAGCATTTAACAAAAAAACATTAATTATCCAATTCATTTATTAGAAGATGAATGGTCGAATAGTTTCGATTGAAGTAAACAAATGAGTTTATTATGAAGACAAGTAAGTATTTCAAATGAGAATTTCTCATAATTAAACTAATACATTCAGAAAATTCCGACTCATTGAACAAATGAAAGAAATCGGAAATGTGTGTGCTCATAAAGACTAGTGCTTCAATAGAAAAATTATTTAGCTCAGCTTGATTGACATTTACTCAATGACAAATACGTTTATCAAATAAGTCAAATTTGCAAATATATTTTTTATTCTTTCTTCTTGTCTATCTATTAATATTAAGTACGTTTTGAATAATTAATATTTTAAGTTTGTTTTGTTCAGCTTATCAAATAGTATGGTGGTCGAATATTCTGATTGGCTTTTTTCTTTGTTTTGACTTTATCGATATATTAAATCTTGAGAGAAACGAATGAAATAAGAACTATGGTTCGGTTCACTGGACATAGCTACGAGGAAAATAAAAGTGACTTCTACCGAAATACTTTTAAAGCAATTCAAAACTAGCTTTATTGAAGCCCAAATGAAAGTTTAATAGATGAACAATTCAATAATTATCTCTAAAGTTATCATGATAACATAGGATACAAAAGCTTTGACACTAATTATTCCTTTATGCATTGCTGAGTTAAACTTGCTTTAATTGATGTTTACACTAAACAAAATCAATATTTTCATGATTCATCACTTGTTTAAATTGATGATGCAACAGATTTTCAGTCTTTCTTCTGCTATGTAAATATATAATTAGATAAGAAACTCTGTCGAACTTCATGCTATAAAGTTAGATTTTGAGTTGAAAAAGAAAAGAATGAGCCGAATAAAATTTTTGTATCGATTCCAGTTCGGAGTTGTTTCAAACATTCTACTTCTATTATGGAATGTTTAAATTAGAAATAACTCATGAACACATATTTTCGAAATTTATTGTTTTCCCTAATAAATATCTAAAACAGGAAGGAACATTTTATTATAACTCTTTACAGTAGAAGTCATGCTGAAATAAATACCTTCATAAGAAGAATTAGTATAAAGTACCTGGAAGAATCTTTCATTTTTCTTCAATGTCATTTGTATGCCAAATTTAGTATAATAGTTCTGATGCAAGAAAGTACTCGGTACTTATCTGAAGAAAAATCTTGGTATTCTTCGAGAAAAGAACTCCAAATGTTTTGCTATTCTCGAAAAAAAGCGAAACTTTTTCCTCATTTTGAACTGTCACAATCTACAAAAGCAGGATATAATTAGATGTTCAATATAATTCCTCAACAAAATTGATCATCGAACATTATTCAAGACATCATCAAAATTTTTCTTACTTTTTAATTTAGATATTAAAAAGACGAGAGCAATTTTTAAATAAAATCTGATCAAGAACTTTTCCTATCTATCGAAGGACGACCGTCAGATGAGAATATGAAAAGTTGACTGACAAAGTATGGTTGTTCCGAACCTTCGTTCTCCACATATCGAAATTTTACTGGATGTTTCAGCATAAAAATATGTGATTCCCTTCAAGTCATCTAGAAAATTAGAATTTCGACTTGAAACTTTGCGTGAACAGCGTTTTTAACGAAATTCGTTAATAAAGAAAAATTTCGATTATTGAATATCTCAGGATAGAAAAAAAGAACTAGAAAAGTTACAACATACCCATAGAAATAATCTAATGTTTATGTAAAATTTGATTTCGGAAGTCGATTTTTCATGTGACTTGAGTAGGACTACAGATTTTTGTTGAAAAACAACAAAGGTCCAAAAAGCAAAATCATTCTAAACTTTTCTATTACTCATCAAATGAACACTGTCTCAGTCGAAAAGCATATCATTACTTCAGATTGAATTTTTGTTCGCTCTATTTTGATTGATATGATCTAGTTTCCAAAAGAATTTAACAATATTTTTTCAATTCTAAATTCATTCATATCTTGGTGTTTTTTAGAATTCGTTCATGAAAACTGTTCATCTTTTGGATTCTTCGCCATCTATATAATCCATTCAAGAACGTAAGTTTGTTGAATATTACCTTTAGTTTTTTTTCGTTTGATATCTATACTTTTACAATGAATGTATATCGATAATTAACCCACTTTTCGGACTAATCTTCTGGAATACTGTTTCCGTTTGTAGTATGTTATCTTTTTTTTTCTTTGTGTATTAATCAGATGTTATTCAAAATAAAAATTGACAGTAGAAAGAAGAAAATAATGCAGTTCTATGACAAATGAATGACTCATCTTTTATATTGCATCGTATTATTTTGAAATCACAGTATAAAATAACATAAAACTAAAACACCCCTTCCACACAACCTTTCTTCAGATAATGACACACATAGAAGAAATTAATTTTAATGGATCGCCAGAAGAAGTTGAGAAAGCGTTGGATCAATGATAAAGACACTATTGACGTTCAATAAGTCAAAATCGAATGAAAATATGTAAGAAATGATTCATCTGTTGTTGAAATATAAAACATTTGTGTAGCTGACACAATTGTCTATAAACAGTAGCGTATCCAAAGACTTCAACTGAGTTGCTTAGATTAAGTTCTTCGAAAAAAATTTTCTTTAATACAGCAAAATAGGGCGTCATCGAACTCTCCAGGTACTTCCTTCATCGATTTGTTTTCGATTAGCGAGAATCCAAAAAGCAGTTCGATAAAGGAAGTTCATGGAGAGATCGGAAACGTCTCATTGCGCTCTATACAATAAAAATTTTTCCACAAATTCTCAGTCAAGTGGTTACGTCGAGGTCTTCGAGCCTACTAATCCTGATGAAGAATCCTTTTTAGCTGTACGTCTTTCTGTGTTATCAGAGACGGTGACATGCTTTGTTGATATACAGTCAAAGACTGTGTCCCAATATCATCTAGTTAACTACTTCCTTATTGCATTTCTGAAGCATTAAGTAACAGAATGATGAAGAAATCTCTTTTAAATTAGACTGAATAAAACAATCTTCTTGTGATTAGTACCAGTAGCTACATCGTGTTTCACACTTTAATCCTGCACGAAGTGCACTAGCAGCTTTATTATTATTTTTTTGTTCATAGAACACCAAAACCTGATGTTCGAAATATATTGATAACAAGTACTTTACCTTTTGTCAACAATGTACCTCATTTGCATATTTTTATTGGATCTTTATTAAGTGTTGATATTTTCTTGTTCGGCAAAATCAAACAATTTCTTATTCGTTTTTTTCATTGTCAATGTTAAATTTAACCCTTGCCGTACCGGCCGGGGTCATTTCTGACCCCAACCTGAAAAATATACAAATATGCTAAAAATATTGTTTTTTCTCAGCTTTTTTAAGCTATTAGCATCGCTTAAGAGTAGATCTATGTCGTTTCATCTAAAAGGGAATATACTTATTTTCCATATCGATTCAACCCCCTGATACAAAACTATGTCTTAAGTATCTATCAAATATATGAGAGAAAGGAAAAAAAGTTTCAAAAGATATTCTAATGATTCATTTACTTATCTGAATGGGTATAAATTTTCGATTTTTTGAAAGGAATTTTTGAATGGTTTATAGCTATCCAATCATAAAGGAAAACGACTTATATCGTTGTAGATCAAATATACGATTTACCTTCTTTTTCTATATAAAAGTTTTTTCTCAAATAATCTGCATCTAACTGTGTGTGGTATTGCAATTACGAATATGACCAGTTCCATATTAGAAGAAAATGATTGTGATTATTTTGACGATGAAAATAGTGGTTCGGAAACAGAAGATCATGAAAGTCAAACATCGGATGATGATGATGAAATTGATTTGGAAAATCTTAAATTAAATGATAATTCGACTTGGCAGAGTTTATATAATTCCAAATCTGGTATGACTTGGTCTGTCAATCCGAATTATTCAACGAAAACAAATTATTCAAATAATAATATTATACAAGCTGGATTGACCGAAGTTACTGCAAATATTTCATCAATTGAAGATGCATTTCTTTCTTTTATGCCAGAAAAAATGCTTGAAAAAATTTTACTTTATTCAAACATCGAATATAGTCAAAGCGTTACTTCCACTGAAAAATCAAAAGAAATGACTATGATTGAATTAAAAGCTTTTATTGGACTTTTATTACTTGCTGGTTTATTAGGAAAATCGAGGACAGATTTACAATGTTTATGGAGAAGAAGTTCATTAGAATTTCCGATCTTCAAAGCTACCATCTCAAGAAGTCGTTTTCAAAAGATTATTGCTTGTTTACGTTTCGACTACAAAAAAACACGAGAAGAAAGAAAAAAAACAGATAAATTTGCCGCAATTCATGAAGTTTGGTCTTATTTTCAAGATAATATGCAAAAGTGTTATACACCAGGATCTAATATCACTATTGATGAACAACTATTAGGATTTCGTGGAAAATGTCCTTTTCGACAGTATATGCCCAAGAAACCTGATAAATATGGATTAAAATTTTGGTTATGTGTTGATGTAGATTCACATTACGTATTCAATGCATTTCCTTATCTTGGACGACAACCGACGGAAAAAAGACAAACCCAAATAGGTGCCAGAGTAGTTTTAGAATTGCTCAAACCTCTTTATGGTTCAAGCAGAAATGTTACAATGGATAATTTTTTTACAAGTGTTCCATTAGCGAAAGAACTTCAAGCAAAAAATTTATCTCTTATAGGAACATTGCGAAAAAATAAACCGGAAATACCTATAGAATTCCAGTCAAGTAAAAATCGCGAAGTTGGCTCTTCGCTGTTTGGTTTTCAGGATGGTTTAACTATAGTTTCATTTGTACCTAAATACAACAAGGCCGTTTTACTACTTTCATCCAAACATCACGATAGCCAAGTGGATAATCAAACTGGTAAACCAATTATTATTTTGGATTATAATAAAACAAAAGGAGCTGTTGACACAATTGATCAATTATGTCACAAATATACGGTAAAAAAATATTTTTTTTATGCTTCTGCATTTTATTTTGTATAGGTGAAAAGAAGTACAAAGCGATGGCCACTTTGTATCTTTTTTGGAATGATAGACATCGCTGCTATAAACGCAATGATCGTCTGGAAAACAAAGAATCCTCAATGGAATCAAAATATAAAACATAAACGTCGATTATTTCTCGAAGAATTAGGAATGGCTTTAGTGTCGTATCAGCTGGATTTTCGCTCAAAAAATTCAAAATTTCTGAATACAGATATTCAAAATGCATTAGCTATCGTCGGTTATCCTGTAATAAAGAGAAATATATCAATCATAAATGACAATTCTGCTCAAGCAAAACGAAAAAGATGTTCTTTTTGTGAACGTTCAAAGGACAAAAAAACATCAACTCAATGCAGTGTTTGTTCTGCGTTCGTTTGTGATGAACATTCTGTTAAACGTATTTTTTGTAACACTTGCTGCAAATAAAAAATGTCATTCTAGTAATTTTTTTTATTGCATCGAATATGAAAATAGCATATTTCCTCAGGGGAGTATCCCAAAGTACAAAAAAATATTTTATGAAAATATATATTGTCAATATAGTACTTAAAATAGGCCGGTACGGCAAGGGTTAAGATCTTGTCAGTTGAAAAATTTCAGTACTTTATGTATTTATGATACTGATAAATATGGTACAGCAACTGAAACAAAAGCATTAACACCAAAATATACACCACGAGAAACTTGAGATAAATATTTTGATTTACATAAAAATATTTATAGATAACTTCACTAATAATGTTGGACAATTGTATTGTGATAATTGTCAACTGTACAGAACTTGTTTTGTAAATTTTGCTCTAATTTTTTACATATTCATGTATTTGAAGTTTTCTGACAGATCGTTATGTAGCTGGTACATGCCCAGATGCAACATGCAAATTTGTTGATGCGCGTAATGACCAATATGATAAGTGTGGAATATTAATTAATGATGTTAAACGTATTGATTTTTCGTTAGACTGCTCGAAATTGGTCAGCCAATGATCAATTGACATAGAAAGTATCGACTAGGAGTTCCTATAAAAACACTAACAACAGGTCGAAAAAACATATCACAAAGATAAATGAAAAGACGTAGTAAATATACTATTCAATAAATGAGCGAACATTCTAATACTAAATAATTTATTCAAGACTACGTAGTATAGAGAAGGATGGCATCTAGATTCGAACAAACTATCTCTCGCATACATGATGACATTCATAGTCACTCATTCATGGTTGCTGCTCTAGACATGAGCAGTACCATGTCTAGACTCCTCTAGAGATAATCTGTTCCACTCTAATGCATTTTCGAACTCAATGGAGAAAACCAAGATTCAATTTATGCTTACTTGAATATCATAATAATCTATAGTTTTAATGACAAGACTACATGGTATGATTTCTTTAGCTGCATTTTGTTAGACTTGATAGATTTTCATCAGAAAAATCACAATTAGCTACAAATTCAGGATGTTCGAAATTAACACTTTCAACAACTGTTTGGGACGGCGCGAAAATTATAAATACCAAAAATTGTTCATCATTATCTTTTGATCATTTTAGATGAAATAATCATAAATTTCAAAAATGTAAACTTGTTCGAACTATTTTAAATATGAATTCAGTTAATCTTTTTGCGTAGTTGTTCTAATTTATGAATCATATTTTGATCACTTCGATTAAAATCTTCTTTGTTTAACATTGATTGTAAGCCAGTTAATTTAGTAAGTTCACAGAGATCTTTTATAAGTAAATGATACTTGCATTGGTCCACGTTGACCAACAAGTATTACATGTCGTATTCGACTTTAATACAGCATACCCAGTACTAAAACATCAGTAACATTTATTTTAGCTAAGTCATCAATAGATGAAAATACGAATTTTGAGTACAATCAAGTTGTGGTTGAAGTTGAATATTTTCTGATACATCTATTTGAAATTGTTTTCTTTTTTTTATAATGACTTAAAAATTATTTTGTTTTGTTTTCATTTTGCCATTGTATAATTCACGAAAAATCTTTAGTAGAAAAAAACGTTTTCTGATGTTATCTCATCAGCAATATTTTAATTACGTTCAACAGATGAACTATAAGTAAATATTATAATAAAATTCTTGTAGTTCTTTCACATGTTCGTGTTTAACTATTTTTGTAAATATTTGTATAACATTTTTTTACTTCTGAATGATTAGGTGCAAGAAAAAAATGAAGATGACTTTTCAATCATATCAATTGTTGTTGACATTGTGTGATGAAGTGTAAGTAAAGAATCAGATGGACCACTACCTACGATACAAATGAGTATGAGTGATGAAGGTGATATAGAATTGCTAATAACTATTGAAAGTGATCATAGAATAAGACAATTTACAAAACAACGTCCATTAAAATGAGTTAACATTGACAAGATATTGAAGATACTTCTAGAATATAATATGGAGAATAATTTCTATAAAAGTTTTCAATGTCTTACTTGTAAATATGCTTTTTTAAGGTTAAATATAAATATTCAGAATAAATACTCATTCTCAAATTTCCTAGTAAAGTTCTTATGATTCCACGTTTATAGTTTATGTGGTAAGAAAAAAAATTTCTTGAATATTTAAATTCGAAGAAAAATGAATGTAAAGTCATGAAACTGTCAAGATATTAAAGAATGATTTTTATTTTGTTCTACAAATGAGTCTTCTCTTACTTACAACACTACTTACGAGTATAAAATAAAAATTTTGAATTCAATTCTTCTAAAATATTTATATGCAATTAAAAATTAAAACATTTAAATTTTTAGTCTTTTGTCATTCTTCAATCTTATGAACATGTCTTCTTTTCACATTGAATATACAACAATAGAGAAAAAAAGGCATAATTTTGTTGTTGAGTTTGTTGCTTTTCCATTTCAATCATAGGTCACTTGCTTGTATTTAATTGTGAATCAGATGGTGTACATTCTTTTCTGCTCTTTAAAATAGATAGATGAAAGATTAATATTTTCACCAGCAATTGCGATACTTTCATTATTCGTTGTTGAAGAAGATATTACAGTTTGTGTCGTTGTTCTAGATAGTATTCGCTGTCGAAAACGATCACAATAATTAGGAAATAATTGTATCAAAACGAATACGTTGAGTATATGTTGAGACTTTATCTTTCGATCAATCATGCTTTGTTAATTCATCCATAAATATAATTGTATTAATGATAGATTTTAATTAAAAAAATTCACAAGAAACAAATCAGATGAATTATTCGTTTTCAAATAATGATTTGATGGTGGATAACAAGCAACTCTATCTAAGATTAGTTTCTTTCACATGAACTATAATTTTCATCAAGAGTTTTGCCAAAATGATGAACAACAGTTAACTAAACAATAAAAAAGAATACAAATTTGAATTTCGATGATCAAGAATCAAGGTATAAGTTTTTATTTGCAATCAGATTCAATAATAGTCCGGCAGTAAGTCTTCAG